GGCGGCGAGACCCGGCGCGGGCGTGGGCTGGGGTAGATCTGCCTCCGTTCGAGCTCGGTCGTCCCATAGGGGATTGAGACCCGCCATCGCACCTCCGACGAGAGGCCCGGCTAGAAAGATCCAGATCTGAGACCATTGGTGGTGGGCGTTGCTGCCGGACGCGACGGCGGCCCCGATGGACCTCGCGGGATTGATCGACGTTCCGGTGATGGGGATGAGCGCGAGGTGACAGACGAGGACGGCGCCGCCGATCGCGAGCGGCCCGTGCCCGTATTGCTTGGTGGCCAGGTATGATACGTGGAGGACGACGGTGACGAGGAAGGCCGTGGCGACGATCTCGGCGAAGAGGGCCTGCCACAGGGCGTGGCCGTGCGTCACGTAGTTGACGCCCCTGCCGCCTGCGTCGTAGAGGTCCCAATCACTGACGAGACGGGCGAGGCACGCTCCGTTGATGGCTCCCAGAAGCTGAGCGGTGACGTACAGAGCTGCTCGGGTCGGCTCGATGCTCTTTCGGACGAGGAAGCCCAGGGTCACGGCCGGATTCAAGTGCGCTCCGCTCACGTCTCCGAAAGTGTATGCGAGGGTGCTGATGGTGACGCCGAACACGGTGGCCACTCCGATCGGGGCTAGCAGGTTCGCGCCCCCTAGGGCCTGATCGGCGGGGTAGTTGACGGCGGTGGTGATGACGGTGAAGAGGAAGAGGCCGCTGCCCATGAACTCCGCGATGGTGGCTCTGTAGAGCGGGCTCTCATAGAGACTAGGCATGCTCAGGTAGAACTAGTTGCAGATTTATTTGTCAGATCAGAACGCGAATCTACTTGTTAAAACATCCGAATGCTCATGTGGGTCATTATTTGTCTGAGAAATTTAGCTCTCACAAATGCAGCACTCGATGCATACATCGTTCGCATGAAAGACAAGGCGCCTCAGCAAGAGACGGCATACATGGTTCAGCAAGCGTAATGTTTAGGTTAGAAAGCATCAACTACGCCTTTGCTGGATTACACTCCTACACTTCTACTCCTGCTATCTTTCTATACTGGTAGCAGAACTCCGACTCGTCCTCCAATTCCAAGATCCTTTCCTCCGGATAGCCTATGAAATGAAGCAGTACCCCGGCCTCATTCTGCGCGCTCTCGTGGTCAAGAAATAGGGTTCGCATAATGTTCTCGAGTAGGTTGTAGCGTCCCTTTGAAGGATTGAAGCGCACAAGATGAAGCGGCACCTTTAAAACATCCTTAATTTTGCCAATGCGGTCGACCTCGCACTCGACGGCATAGTAACGATGGTAGGACTCGTCAACTTCCAATATGACGACATGTGTTTGAAACACGAAGACGTAGTCGGGGCGTGTGATGCACGAAGTGCTTTGCGTCGCCAGGTTCCGGGCGCAAGGGAGTTGCTGATCGCAGTAAGACCATGCCCAGCCCAGCTGCGTCAACCACCTGGTCGTGTATACCTCCCACTGTTTGAGCGAGGTACCGGACCGGCACGTGTAGCAGGCGGCGCCTTCAAAATGCACAGAGACCTCAGAGCATACGCAGCAACGACGCCCCCCCCCGTGCTTCTTGCAGAAGGTTGATCCTCGGGCCCCTTTGTCGCACCCGGCCTCCCGGCACCGCTTGCCGCCGCCGTGCTTGATGCAACGATCCGTTGCCCCTTCTGCGCCCTTATCGCATCCGTTTTCCTTGCATCGCCTACCACCTCCGTGCAATCTGCAAAATCGTGTCGCTTTTACAGCGCCACTATCGCATCCAGCCTCCTCACACCGCCGCCCGCCTCCGTGTCTGGTACAACGTATGACCGCCAACGTGCTGCAGCCGCTCTCCTGGCACCGCCTGCCACCACCATGTTGCTTACAAAAAGACGTTCCTCCCTGCGCGGACTTATGGCAGTCGACTCCAGCGCACCTCCTGCCGCCCCCATGATTGTAACACAGGTTGGTTGTGCTTATCGCCGACTTATCACATCCTGGCTCCTGACAGCGCCGACCGCCTCCGTGTTTGATGCAGAAGTTTGTGGACCCTTGCGCAAGCTTGTTACATTCGGCATCATGACATCGCCGTCCGCCTCCGTGATCTCTGCATAAGTCGGACGGTCCAATTGCAGCCTTGCTGCATTCTGTCTTCCGACACCGGGCCCCCCCGCCGTGTCCCTTGCAAAATATGGTTTTTCCTATCGCGCCTTTGTTGCATTTTGGGGCTTGACATCGTCGCCCTCCGCCGTGCTTGGAACAGAAGTTGGCTGCGCTGACGGAGGACTTGCCGCACCATGGGTGTTGACATCTGCGACCGCCGCCATGCCTCTTGCACAAGCCTTTCGCTTCCACTCCGTTAGTACAGTCGTCATGGACGCATATTCTACGCTTAGGCTTACTGCCTGCGTCTTTCATCGCTAAAGGTCCTCCTTAAGGGGGGGCTTGATAGGGTGGTCCACGTTGATGTGGCCGCTTCCTTATGCCCGTCGCGAGGGGGCGAGGGCGTGCGTCTCGAGGTGCATTTTTAAAGTCGATCCTAGACCTTAGCTCCGGTTCGGAGGAAGTCCCGTAGAAGAGATGTCGAGCCTGCCGTTCACCGGCCGTCTGGGCGCGTCCTCGTCGTCCTCGTACGTCACAGATTCGACCGGCACTTCGGTCGCGGTAGGGCAGGGCACGGGCGTGGATGCGGGTGGCACTCAGAACATATTTTTGGGCTTCAATGCCGCGAAGAGTAACACTGGGAACTCAAACCTGATCGCTAG